ACTTACCTCTGGAGCTGTGTGGAAGAAGAATTAGAAAGGGAAAAACTGTTAACCCCATTTAGCAAGTGAAAAAATTGAAACATAAGAAGTTAAATAATTTGTCCAAGGTCCTATATCTAGTAAAGGATAAGGACTCTAGTGGGTTTTGGTTTTTTGTTTTATTTTATTTTGTGGCTAGATAACATGTTGGCACAGAGACCAATATGGACTTCTGTTACACAAAATTTCTTAATATAATTATCATGGAATAATGAAATACCAGCACTTAGGGATATAAAGAAAAAAAATGGGAAGTGTAAAGCTTGAAGGCCTCACATAGAAAGTGACCCTTGAGGTGAGTTTTGAAGGAGACATGGTTCTCAGAGCTAGAGAGAGGTAAGAAGGGAGTATATTTCAGTTACTGGGGGTGGTCTGTCAGTCAACAAACGTTTATTAAGGGTCTGCGATGTGCTGGGCACATAGTCTGACCAGTGAGAAGGCACAGAAAGGAGAAGTGAGCTATGATCAAGAGTAAGGCCACTTTAACTGGACCAGAACAGCAACAAAGGGGAGCGATGTGTAATAATCTGTAACAGTGATGGAAAATGTTAGCTGAAGCTACGCTGTGAAGAGCTTTAAATGCTCAAACAAGGAGTTTGCATTTGATTCTAGAGGAAATGAAGGAGAGTGTCATGGTCACATCTACATTTGAGAAAAATCACTCTATGTGGAAGAATGATTGTGACAGGGCAGAGATGAAACAAGATGAGTTATTGCAGTAGTCTGGATGAGAGATGGTAGAGGGCTTGACTTGGGTGGTGGACCCTATGTGGTAGACTCCACTCCACTCCACTGTTTAGATGAGAAAACTGAGACCTAGGGGGCAACGTTATTTGCCCAGACTCCCATGGCTAATGAGTCACCTGGCCATTGTTTCGAACTCTGACTTCTAACCCTAAAATCTATCACTGCTTTAGCCTTGTATAAGAAAGAGCTTCCTAACTACAATTCAACAGAAAAAATGAATAATAATGAATAACCTCTTCCTCGAGATTTTCAAGTGAAAATGAGTGATTTCTGGGTCAGATACAAACTGAACCTAATGGTCTCTAAGGTCCCTTTTCATTCTGAGATTCTGTGCATCTGTCAAGCCGAGTGTTATCTGCTTTTTGTGTTTTGTTTTGTTTTATCTTTCCAATCAATCCAAAGCAAAATTTAATAATTTCATTTCCTTTGGCCAGTTTTTGTCAGGCAGCACTAGAGCAGTCTCAGCAAAATTAAAAATAAATGTTCTTTTACACTGCTTCAGAGCATTTCCCCTTGGGTCTGTGGGATGACTGAAAGCCCTGCTTCTTTCCAATGGATCAGGGCAGGAGGAAGGACTAAGGGAAGGAGGAGGTTTGAAAGAGGGAGAAGGGGTTGAAAATTCTGGAAACTGTTGTGACCATTTGGGACGAGTGGGAATTTTCAGAGCTTGCCCTGCTGATTCATTATCTACAGGCAACGACTTTTCCGCCGTTGAGCCTGTCATTCAGAGCACTTGCTGGGGACTAGGGAGACTTTCAGACAATTCAAAGAAGAGCCCCTATACAAAGGGAGCTTTGAAGGGAGAGATGATACATGTAGAAAAAACAATAACTCACCAGCAATGAGAGAGAGAGCAAAGAACGGCTTTATTAAAATCATACATTTGAAAGGCAACATAGTGTAGTTGGGCAAGTAGTGAATGTAGAGTCTGAGGACCTACGTTCAAATCTGCCTAATTGGAACCTTGAAAAAGTCACCCACCTTTCTGGGTCTCAGTTTCCTCATCTCTAAGATCAGGTGATTCTAGATCCTCTCTAAGACCCCTTTTAGACTGTTTTCTGCACATAATAATACTTTGTTCATTCATGCTATGGGCCAATATGGCCTTTTCTCTTGTAAAAAATTATTTTATCATCATCATTATTATTATTATTATTATTAAGTTTGATTTCAAGCAGGGGTACAGACTTGAATGGGCTGAGCTGATTGTTAAATTTTCAGTGTGAGCATTTATACTTTGAAAATCCACAAACACTGCGTATCAGAGCATGATTTATTGTTTTGTTGATTTTCTAGACTTAAGAAAACAATGAAGGAAATATTAATATGGCAAATTTAACTCAAAACTGTGTTATGCCACTTGTTAAACATTCGTAAGACATCCCTGATTTTAAGTCTTCTCAGGTGAAGAATGTGTTATGGGGTTATTATGTACTAAGTTGTTAATTTTGAAAGGTTTATTATAGTAATATCAATGAATGAGAAGCATTCTTGTTGGACAGTTTTCTGTTCTTGTGAAAAATATAGCTTGAATGTAGAAAATTATACCAAAAACAAACCTAGTTTTTAAAAATCTCATTACTGGGGTTTTTTGGGGCAAAAATATATATAGATAGAGCTTTTCTTAATTTTAAATAACAATTTCTAATTATTAATGTAAATTAAACTTCTCTTCATTTCACTTCATGTGCTAAGTACCCGGGGGTTCAGAAGTTCATTGAACATGCCTACATCTTTTCTTGCTTTGGTTTTTGTTGTTGAGTTTTTTCCCCAAAAGCCTACACCAAACTCCAATGATCCCAACCATGTTCTGCTTGACCAAATACTGACCTGCCTTTGCCATGTGAAGAAACTTAAGCCAAATTCTTTTACTCCAAATCATTTTCCGGCTAGTTCACTCCATACAAGTCAGCAAACTTTGAAGTGTAGTGGGTGAAAAAAAATTTTGCCTTTAATGTGTAGACGAGGAAGAGTGTTTCATTTAGTCAATCCAAAGAAAGGAGATACACTTGTTCACATTGATAGATGAGTTTATTACTCCGAAATCATTCTAGGACTGTTCATAAAACTATTCTTGTTTAATGTGACAGTTGTGTCACTGATGGTTTCTTGGTCATGAATGTTTTAAGTACCTTTTGATGAATTTATGAATCCTCCCTCTCTTGCCCAGAAACTGTCACTCATTGATTGATTAACATCACAGTAATGTCCTAGTGGGGCAGCTAGATGGCTCAGTGGATAGATCCCTGGGCCTAGAGTCAGGAAGACCTGAGTTTAATTTGGCCTCAGATACTTATTAGCTATGTGACCCTGGGCAAGTCACTAAACCTCTATTTGTCTTAATCCACTGGAGAAGGACATGGCAAATCACTGCAGCATCCTTGTTCAGAAATTCCCATGGACAATATGGTACATTGAGTCACATAGAATCAGACATGACTGATCGACTAGTTGTCCTAATAGCTAGACAGGGACAAATTATTATATCTTAGAAATAAGGCTACAGTGCGTGGAATTCCAGCCCCTATTAAATTTTAACATGGAATGAATTATGGATAGAGCACTGACCTAGAGTCAGGAAGACCTGAGTTCAAATTTGGCCTCAGACACTTGACACTTAATAGCTGTGTGACCCTGGGCAAGTCACTTAACCCCATTGCCTAGCCAAAGAAAAAAGAACAAATTTGACTCAGACACTTGCTCGGTATATGTCTCTGGGCAAGTCACTTACCCTCTATCTGCCTCAGTTTCCTCAGCTGTAAAATGGAGATCATAAAAGCACTTACCTCACAGGGTTGTTGTGAGGATTAAATGATATAATATTTGTAAAGTGCTTGGCACAGTGCTTGGCACATGAAAGGCCCTTAATAAATGCATGTTCCATTCCCCGTACTTAAAATGCCTTTCTCTTCTCCATTCAAGACTGAACATAAAACTATCAGAGAGAATGCAATGACTGTGTGTTAGGAGACTTACTGGCATCCTTCAGTCAAAACTCCATTCATTTAGAGCAATTAATACCTACACAATACCAGTTAACTTCTCGAACTGTAAAATGGATCACAGATTAACAAAATATCTAAGCAAAATACAATATCAACAAAACATAGGTCTATTTCAAGGCAGCTATAGAAACATTAATATTTCCTTATCGATAAAGAAGAAGAATATTTATGGATGCTCTCAGAACACATAAAAATATGTTAAAAACTTAGAGAAACACTTCTGCAACCAACTGATGTGCCTTAACAGACCAGTAGTAAAGGCCAACAATTGAATGTATGCTGTATTTCCCAAATGTAACCTATTAAGGGATGTATGAGGAGAAATCTGCTTATTGTTATATTGTTTCTACATCAAACTCTGGTAGACTCAGCAAGTTCTTTCTGCCACTGTCTCCTTGAATCACTTCCTATGTGGGGCCCTCTTATGGAAACCAACAAATAAATGAACTAAAACATGAAAAAGTAGAATCTGGGTATTAATTGGATAGCTCTGAATAATTGGATGAGATGAAATGGAAGCCTGGAAAAGCAATGACAGAAATATATTATGGCCGGACTCCATGATCTGCATTAGATACCTCTTTTCTATCATATACAGAAGTTTAAAGAATCACATTCTACAGCCTCATATGGTATAAAGGAATCCCCTTGTACTAATATCATGGTAGTTGATATCTGATGGTCTACTTATATTCAATCTTGTATTCAATCAAAGGAAATTTAGATTTCTAGGAAAAATTGAGTAGCTGAAGAGCTTTTATTCTAATCATCATATTCATTTTGGATTGGTTTTCATGGAAAGGTATGCAGGTATGTATAGAATATGTGGCTTCTAAGGTTAGGTCCTATTAGTTAAAAAATGAAAAGTTATCATTTCCAGCCATTCCACAAGTAGTTGTTGGACTGGTCTACCTCTGGGCCTTGAGATTTCTATCCCAAATAGCTCCCCAGTTTGCATATAGTAGAACCTCAGTTAAGTGGATGGCCCTCAGATTTCTCCAGTTTAAGCCCATTTTGATCAGTGGAAATATCCTTAGAAAAGGGGTGGGTGGGACAATTCTGTTGATGCTGGTTTTCAGCAGGTTTTCTTTTAAGCACCTTTGTTGAATGAAAATATGGGGAAGCTTGGAAAAAGAAGGGAGTGAACACCTCTTTAAAAATTCATCTGCTTTTCTTGCTTTGTCTTATCCCTTACTGTTTGCATTTCAGGCTCAGCTATGTGAACCATGCAGAGGATCTGGCCTCCAAACTACTCCAGTGTTTCCCAAAGAACAGATTGTCTGCCCCAGCAGCCCTGAACCATGAGTATTTCAGTGATCTGCCCCCCCGGCTATGGGGGCTAACTGATAGTGAGTATGACCCAGTCTCCAAGTCCTATGAAAACAATGAAATTGGCATACATGTGAGTGTGCACACACACACACTCACACATACCCACAGAAGACTGGACATACACATATACATAGATATGTGTGTGTTTACTGGAATCCTGCCATTCAAAGTGCAGCGTTTGCTTGACACAGGAAGAAAATGGATTCCTTTTTCGCTATCTCCACTCTGCAGTGTGTAGCGAGATATCTTTGTATTTGATTATGTGTGCATCCAAAAGAATTATCTGAGTAGTCAGTCAAAAAGAAAAAGAAAAATGCAATTTACATATTTAGTGCTTTCCACATACAGTACTTTGTAACTGGCTACAGTACACAGAATTTAAAAAAAAAAAGATTCATTTCTAGTTGATTCTCAGATATTATCTTTGTTAGAACAATAACCTTAAAACAGACTGGTTGAGGAGCACAGAACTGACAACTGGTTAATTTACTAAGCAAAAACATGTAAGAATGATGACTTGTAATTCACTTTAACCAGGAATGCTTTTGGTTTTTCTCAGAGGCAGCCCTTCTCCTAGCCTTTTAAAACAAAACATTCTCCTAGTGGGTTTGCATTTTGCTTTTACAAAAAAAAAAAAAAGTTCTTATTTACACAGCCTTTTTCAATTACATTTTAAATATTTGGGAAGGATTTATGGCAGGGAGGTCCTTATCTCTTTTCCAAAGTGTAAAGACTCTGTCTTGTGAAATCTTATAAAATTGGATTGCAATAAGAATATTTCTGATCTGTAGAGATATGTTCCACCCAAATGACAAGCTCTGGCTATTTGTTCTTGTAGGTTTTAGCATTGAAAAATCAAGGTTATTTTCGAAAGCTATCTTGGTGTATGCATACTTAATAACATATTGGGTGTTTATTTCTCTGTATATGAGATATTTTGTACACTTGGAGATAGAATTTACTTTCTTTACTCTCCTAGATTTTGGAATTTTCTTTAATGCTTGCTATGGTGGATTCCTAGTTGACCCCAGTATAACCTTTCACTTGGTGACAAAACCCTAGTAGCAGCCTCCCTAGGAAATGATTCCCAAGGGGGAGGAAAAAAGTTTGAAACTACACATTTAATTATAAATGCTTTCTTTTCCATATATATAGCCATACACATGAGTAATTTGATGACTTCCTCTCCCCTGAGCAACCCACTCATACCCACCCCTAGAAATAGTCCATAGGGCAAAGGACTGGATCTAGAATTTCATTGGTATAGGGAATTGCCAGATGAGAGTTCTGCTAATACAGGTCATCACCTTCTCTGTAATTTGTAGTCTTAGAAAGCTGCCTATGGAACAGGAAAATTGAGTGATTTGCCTTGTGTCACACAGCTAACAAGTGTGAGAGGTGAAATTTGAACCCAGACCTTCCTGACCAGTGGACGATAAGTTAATCCTTCTCCTGCTGTATTTCTTTCCCTGAAAAAGTCATATAGCTGACCATCACAACAGCTCTACCCATTTTTTTTTCTTAAATTAAACATGAAATCCCTGTGGCTAGATCATGAAATGATGATGAATCTCTCTCTGCTTGAAAAAAAAAAAATGATACAAAGAGCTTCATTAGTTTATGGCTCGTCAGACATCAAACATACGGTTTGTTTTTCATTTCACATACCAGATAACTCCAAACTACTTGGCGTTGGTGACATCTCAATCCCATCTAACTCGACAATTGAGCTTAAGCTAGGCTTTTGATAGTCTCCGAGTTCTGAATTCTGTACTGGTGCTTCCCTGTTAATATGGACTTATTACCCATTTGCCACTCAGTTTATCAGCCAGTGGTGAAATCCAGTTCTATCAGTGGAGTAAATGCCTGCACATTATCACTCGGCAGCAGGCTGCCAGCGGAGACAGTCTTGTCCCCATCATTAACGAGCACAATGTATGCAGAACACCAGAGGGGAATTAAAGCCACAAAAAATACCTCAGGGTGGCATTTTTAATATGAGAATTTAATTTGTAATTTCACAGATTAAGAATTTTGGCTGCATTAATCCTTTTATCAGCTCACAGCAGGTTATTTGCAGAAGCATAACCATAAGGCGATATTCATTGGCAGAAACACGTCTTTGCATAGCGTTAAACATCAGGAGCAGTGGAACCTTTTGAAGGGGGGAGAATAAAGATGAAAAATCATTATATTTTTAAAGCAAGATTCTGCTAAAGGCCTCCGGTAACAATTTCGAGTTACAGAAATGCTATTTCTGTGTCTAGTAGATAATCATTATGGAGCATAAATCCAGCGGCAAAAAAAAAAAAGCGCAATCCCAGTATTGAATACTACAATCACTTCCATTTGGAACAACCTGGTCCTACTTGTCAACATGTTTACAAAACAAAGGATTCACAGACTTTGGAGTCTTGGAGAAGTACTCCGTTTATGGCAAATTACTGGTTTAGGGACTTTGTTGTCTAGGTCTGGGCATTCCCCCATGATCTCTACAAAGGTGTTCCTTCCAAACTTCCACAGTGGCAATTTGAGCATATTTAGAGTCATGTGAATGAAAATGGACAATGGAGTGGGCAGCAGCAACAATACTTAAGCTGGTTCCTTCTCGCAAGGGAGGTTTTTGTGTTGTTTTTTTTTTTTTCTTAAAGGAGGCCTTCATGGAAAGAAACCTTGCAGAATCAATAAAGGAATTGGCCTAGGGACTAAATCTTGGCTTGGATGCATATACCAGAGTAGACCTAATGTTTTTAAAGGTGACTTGTAACTCTTTTTGCAAGGTAACACTAAGGGGGAAAGGCTTCTGTAAATGCTAACGAAAGCTATTTAGAAAGGAAGAGGGAAGGAAGGAAGGGAGAGAGGGAGGAAAGAAGGGAGGAGAAAGAAAGAAAAAACAAAAGAGAAAAAGAAAGTCAAATAACATATGGAAGAATGCAGTCTTCATAATTCCTTCCTTCATAATTTCCCTTCTACCTCCCAGACTCGGTACTATAAGAATGTAATGCTTTGAGGTCATTGGCTAAGACTCTCTTAGTCACTTTGACATTGGCTTGAAAAAACAAGGAAGAATATGCCTGTTGTTCAGTATGCTACTTTGCCTACTACAAAAAGACCAACAAACATTTTAACATTGCTCCTTATTGTTCTACTTCTTTAAACTACCTCAGACCCATTTGCATAGGACCCATATGTGTAAATAATTTATAATCCACCTTCAAATGAAGCAAGGTAAGAAACATTTCAGCCCAAGCAAAAATAATAAATGGTGAAGACTGCCTGTGCCCTGGCACTGGAAACTGGTTAATTCGTGTGGCTCTTATTCTGTATACCTTGTCATTCTCCCTCCATCCTAAAACCCCAACAGCCTTGCTCCACTTCTTCTCAAAGATTTAATTGCTGAGAAATAAGGGAGGGCTGGGCATAGAAGGAATTCATTGCTTTCACCAAATACACTACAGGGCATTCTCTAGTGTATACTATCAAGTTTCATAAATAATTAAAGCTGAACTACCCTTGTCAAAGTAAATGAACAAAGTACACTTTACAGTGCCGAGGCCCTGATTTTATGCATGCATTTGCTAATTCACAAAATGTGCATTTGTGAAGGATGAGTCCCATCTTTGGAATAGCTAGCAAGGCTTTTTTATATTTTCTTCTGGGTCTGTTCACACTTGGAAACATCCTGATGGGCGTTTCTTTTTTTAAATAATGACCCATTGTAAACAAAAAAAGACATGCATTCACCCAAAAGAAAATTGAGAACCACTTGTTGCCAAAATTCCTCATATGATTGTTTATCATGAGTTATCCTAAGGGTCTTTGGTTGTTCATAAAGAATCCTAGAATGTTAGAACTGGGAGAAACTTTAGAGATGGATGTTGAATCCTTTTATTTTATGTAAGAGAAAACCTAAGCCCAGGATTAGGAAGCGTCTTGCCCACAGTTACATAGAAAGTTAGCAACTGAGACAGGTATGATGGCGCCTATCTGTCACCCCTGAGTCTGGGGGCTTGCTTGATCTCTGGAGTTCTGAACTACAGTGGGCTAGATTGATCAGGTGTTCCCAATGACTCTAACACCAATACAGTGAGCCTATGAGATTAGAAATCTGCCTAAGGAGGAACAAAGCAGCCCAGGTCAGAAACAGAGCAGGTCAAAGTTCCGATGCTAATCAGTTGTGGGGTTGAGTCTATGAATAGCTGCTGTACTTGCAGCTTGGATGAAGATGAGGTAGGGAGTTGTGGGAGGGAGGGAGACAGAGAGAAAGAGAGAATATTAGAGAGGGGAAAGGGAGGGAAGGAAGGAAGGAAAGAAAAGAAGTTGAGAGAGAGGGAGGGTGAAAACTAAATCTTAGATCATATGTCTTCTACCCCAGTGGTTTGGTTTGGTTTTGTGTTTTTTTTTTTTAACTACACCACATTGTCTCTTCGTCTAAAGAGTTCCTCAGCAGATGTTAGATAAGGAAAATGATGAAGTGAAGTCAGCTAGCTAGTCAACAGATCTTTACTGAGCACCAATGATGTTCCTGTTCTTAAGCCATATATCATGAGGAATGTTTCTTTTTGGATGAAGCCATGACCTCATCTATGTGCATCCCTTCTGTGTGGATACATATCATATGACACACATACTATTTCATCCTGTGGGATATTTCCCACAAGATTTCCCTAGAGATCCTAACCAATGTGCTACAGCCCTTCTTTGAGCCATTTTAAGCTTCTTCAGGTGCCATGCAACAGTCCTTCTCATCCCTCTGTTATCAGAGGCAGTGTGGCAGGACAATAGATAGAATTCTGGGCCTGGAGTCAGGAAGACTGGGTGGGAACCCCACCTCTGACACTGACTAACTATATAACCTCAGGTAGGACATTGCATCTCTTGAAGCTTTAGTTTTCTCATCTGTAAAATGAGATACCACCTAAGGGTTGTTGTGAGGCTCAAATGAGATCCCATTTTTAAAATACATCACAAAATTTAAAATGTTGTGTCAATGTCAGTTATTATAATTGTTCATACTCCCCTAGGCTCTCACTGCATGACCAGCCAACTTCCTTTTCTAACTTTATTTTCCTCAATAATAATCACTTACATAAATTCTTGTGTGCAGACCATCAGAGGTAATATGCTGTAACCTACTTGAGGTTACAGTGAATCTATCCATTACCCATAGATCATCTTAAGCGGATCCATCCATTCCCCATGTGTTATCTTCAGTGGATCCATCTATTATCCCTGTGTCATCTTCAATGAATCCATCCATTCCCCTGGGTCATCTACAACGGATCCATCCATTAGTCATGGGTCATCTTCAGTGGATCCATCCATTATCTCTGGGTCATCTTCAGTAGATCCATCCATTACCCATGGGTCATCTTCAATCCAGGTTCCTTAGATACTGTGGAGAATATGAAAGCAGGTTTTGCCACAGCAGCTTTTCTGCCCTCCCAGAACTTACAATCTTTTTGCAAAGAGAAAAACTGGTCTAAGTGAACTAATTTTACAACAGTATAAGATAGCAAGGTAGCACCAGTCCATAAGTTTTTTTTTCTTTCTTCTTTTCGCTCTCTTTAAAAAAATAAAGATAGTGCTAAGACTCTTTACCTTGGGCATTTCTCTGTCACATCTTCCATTATGTAAAAAAAAAAAAAGAAATTAGATTTGAGTAGGAAGAAAACAAGGATAATATAGAAATGCAGGTCCCACTAAAGTCTTCCTGTCCAAAAGGAGGAGACACACCAGGAAAACTCTAACTTAGATAATAATTTTAAGTATAATAATCATGCTTTACTTTTGGATAGTGAAAACACATCTATGCACATTATCTCCACTTGATCCTATAATAGCCCTAGGAGTGCAGTTATCAGTGGGTTAAGACCTGTGCTTTGGATTAGAGGATGGGTGGATTTAACTGGGCAAGCTTCCCAATGTAAGGAGGTTTATTGAGTTGAGGTTAGCTGACTAGTTGGTAGTACCTAGCTAGAGATCTGGAAATGTAAAAGGAGATTCTTCTGGCCCACAAGAAATCCAGCTGTAGTAAGCTATGGAATGGGGTTTAGGAAAAGAAGGGATCAGATGTATAACATCTCATCTGGTGGAGGAGAGTTTGAAGACTTTAGGAATTTGTTTTAGGTCCAGAAGGCAGTGGAGGATCATAATTAATGGATATTGATGCTGGGAGCATTGTATAGAACTTTGTGGAGCAAACAGAGGCTTGGAAATTCTCAAAAGGGGGATTTTGCTGTTCCAGATAGGAGATAAATATTTCCTGGACAAGGGTTTTTTTTTTGTTGTTGTTTTGTTTTGTTTTGTTTTTGCTAGGCAATGGGGTTAAGTGATTTGCCCAGGGTCACACAGCTAAGTAAGTGTGAAGTGTCTGAGGTCGGATTTGAACTCAGGTCCTCCTGACTCCAGGGCTGGTGCTCTATCCACTGCGCCACCTAGCTACCCCAACAAGGGGTTTTCTGATCAAGACAAAAAGAAGCAGGAAGATTTGAACAGTGTTATAGAGAGTGGAGTCATTCATCACTGCTCCTGCCTAATCAGACACTGCTCCCCAAACTAGCCCAATGTTTTCTCTCCTTCACTCACGTTACTCCCTGTGCCTGAAGTGTTCTCCTTCCCCCTCTTTGCTGGTGATTTATTAGCTAGCTTTTGAAGCCTACTCAAATGCTCACCCTTTAGGAAGCCTGCTTACTGCTCCCGACCACCACCGCCATCACCCTCTTACAGAGCATAACTTTGACACATCATGTGCAAAAATCGGTTACATTTATCTTGAGTGATTTTGCTCGTTACTGTGCTTGTGCTATGTCCCCCTGCCACTGTCTTAGCTGCACGTGATGATTTCCTTGTGCTTAACTCAGCTCCTCTATACATAGAAAGTGCTCAGAAAGTATTTACTGGATTGAAATGAATTGCTTCCATATTGTCTTGAGGTGTTGCTTTTACAACAGTTGGTCATTCCAGTGAGAGGGATGTTAAGCATTCAATAATTCAACAAGTGTTTAGTAGGGGGCCATCTCCAGTCATCCTGATCCATATCTGGCCACTGAACCCAGATGGTTCTGGAGGAGAGAGTGAGGCTGGTGATTTGCAGAGCTCTACCTAACTCAAATCCAATTCACTTGCAAGTCATGGCATCACCTTCCTGATGTCATGGTCCTCTTTGAGAACGAAGGACAAACAACAAATGTTTATTAAGCATGTACTACATAGTGGGGCGTTGTGATGGGCTCTGGGCATTCCGTGATGAATGATATCCCCAAGGAGCTTATATTCTATATACATTACTCGGCTGTGAGGCAAAATACGTTCAAGGGAGGATTTGACAAATTAGAAGAGAGGAGGGTCATTTCTCTCGTAGAGGCAGTATCAGAGAGGTTTTTGTGAAAGATGTGGAAGCAGAGCTGGGTTTTGGCATGTAAAATATTATCCTATATTTTAGGGAAAAGTATGGTAGTCCAACATATATAGGTATACATACAGCTTCACTCTCTCTATATCCTTGTGTTCATAAGCATTGGGCTAATTTGAAACTCATTAATCGGCATGTATCGGAATATATCATTTCAGTTGGATCTGACTCTCCCTGACCCCATTTGGGATTTTCTCGGCAAAGATACTGGAGTGGTTTGCCATTTCCTTCTCCAGCTCTTTTTTCAGATAAGGAAACTGAGGCAAACAGGGTTAAATGACTTGTCTAGGGTCACACAGCTAGGAAGTATCTGAGATCAGATTTATAATCATGGAGATGACTCTAGACCCAGCACGCTATCCCTGCCCCACCTAGCTGCCCCATCAGCATGTAATACCTGAGTTTTGGTTCCCCTCCCCTCAGGTAAGTAGAGCACATAACTTACCAAGAGGTCATGCCCTTGATGGCAGATGTGCTGGGCAGTCGAGATCCCACCCTCATTTCCCAATTTATTATTTTCTTTTCAAAAAGGAACAATTTACTGCAGCATTTCAATCATTCATCCAATGAGCCTTTTTAAAGTGACTACTATTGGAGCAGCTAGGTGGTGCAGTGGATAGAGCACCAGACCTGAAGTCAGGAGGACCTGAGTTCAAATTCAGTCTCAGACCAAACACTTAATATTTACTAGCCATGTGACCCCGGGCAAGTCACTTAACCCAAATTGCCTAAAAAAAAATAAAATAAAGTGACTACCACGTGTCCCATCAATGTGGTAAAGTGCTGAGCATCCAAGGATGAGAGTGGGGGAGTCCCTGTTCTCAAGGATCTAACATTTGAACAAGGGGCACAAAGTGTGCGTGCGTGTGTGCGTGCATGTGTGTGTGTGTGTGTGTGTGTGATATGCAGAAAATGAATACAGGGTAATTTTGTGGGTGAAGGCACTAGCAGCTAGGAGATAATAATAGCATTTTAAGTTTTGCAAAGCACTTTACAAATATTGTCACATTTTATCCTTGAAACCCTGTGACTACTATTATTATCCCCACTTTGCAGATGAGAAAACTGAGGTAGAGGTTAAGACGCTTGACCAGGGTCACATAGCTAGTAAGACTCTGTGGTAATATTTGAACCCAGGTCTTCCTGACTCCAAATCCATCACTCTACTGCATCATCTAGCTGCCACAAAGAATTTAGAAAGGCTACATATAAGAGATGACCTCGGAGCTACAATCTTAAAGGAAACCAGGAATTCCAAGAAATGGAACTTAGGGGGAAGAGCATTTCTAAGCTGTATCTGTGATCTCATCCAGGTCAGCACCTAACACCATAGTACAGTTCAGAAACCTGCCACATCTTTTCATCCTGTTTGACTCTCACCCGCATCTCCTTTAAAGCCTCCATAGACAGTCCTACCATGTCAGGAGTCTTTTTATAGGTCTCTTGATAGGTACAAATTGTACACTGGTACAGATGTACATTGAGGCAGCTAGGTGGAACAATGGATAAAGCACTGGGCCTGGAATTAGGAAGACCTGAACTCAAATTCAACCTCAAATATTTACTAGCTGTATGACCTTGGGCAGGTCACTTAACCTCTGTTTGCCTTAATCTACCGGAGAAGGAAATGGCAAAGCATTCCAGTATCTTTGCCAAGAAAACCCCAAATGGGGTCACCAAGAGTCAGACACAACTGAAACAACTCAACAACAACAAAAAGTCTTTATGTCATTTTCCTGTGTAATTCTTCATTGGTGATTTGTAGTAATAAAAGCAGAAGGAAATATGTTAATAAATAACATCTAAAATTTCCATTTTGTCCACAGTGTCTTCTGTTTTTACTGTCCCAAATGTAAGATTACAACCAGAAGTTGGAGAAAGTATGCGGGCCTTTGGAAAAAACAATAGTTATGGCAAAAGTCTATCAAATAGCAAGCACTGAAGAACACATGGTTGCCGAAGGGATTGCAGGTAAGACAGCAAAAATTGCTTTGAAAGCAGTGTTTTCAGCAACAGTTTAAGCAGTGAACTTCCCCCCCACCCCATGAAAGTACTATTTCAAATTCTTTTCTGTAGGGTTTTTTTCCTTCTACAGATATCATGGAAGTGTCCTGTTTTCTATGCCATCCAAATGGCCATGGACACCATTAAGAAGTCAAGTTAGTTCTCCGTATGTCCTATCTATTCCCACGTGGCTCCTGGGGCTGAGTTTTTTGAAACTGCATTGGCCACAGAATGGTGCCCTGGCTCAGCTTGTGAACCCCAATGCTGCTCTCTTAAGTGTTTGCTCCTTGGTTTGCTCATTGACCTCTTTTTTAAGCTGTCTGTAATCTGGAATTCCCTTACTCCTTTTTACCTCATTCCTTGCTGCTCCAGAAAATGGGCTGATTTTTGTCAGAGCTAGGGTTGTGCTGGAGCCAGCTGGTACCATCTTGGGGCCAGTCATTAAATGTTCAGTGTGAGCATTTACCCCTCAGAAAATTGGCAAGTGCTACAAATCAGGATTTAATTTATTGTTTTGTTGATTGTCTAGACTTAAGAAACTGATAGAGAACATGTTAATAAGAGAACATGTTAATAATGCAGGGTAAACTTAAAAGGTTGTCATCCTCTAAGAGAATCAGTTGTTAAACATTTACCAGCACATCCCTGGTCAGAGTCTAGATAAAGTGTAATCAAATGCTGGGTACCAACAGGTGGCACCACTAGAAACTGTTTGGATCAAGGTAGAACATGAAATCATTTGTTTGATACGTAGGGGATGATGTTGGCTGAAAAACCAAGCTTAGCACCTACTGTCACTATCCTGGATAAAACAAAGAGGACTGCGGAGGAATCACATCAGTAGGAGATTAATATAGCTAGAGGTGAACATTTGAGCGAGCCATAAAATGATACCCAGAGAAGACTAGTGCTGAATAGGAAAGAATAAAACTAGGAAGTGAAAACAGTAGAGATTGATGAGATGTCAGAGGGAAAAGAAGATTGGATTTGGGATTAGAGTCGTAGTTCTGCCAAGGTCAAAGACTACTTCCTTTGTGCTCTTAGACAAGCCATAATTGGATGCTTGTCAGTGCCAGGAATGTGCTGGAGCCAGTTGGTACCAGCTTGGGGCTCATCATCCAAGGTGTTAGGCCAATGTCTATCTCTTGACATTGGGTGGGTAATGGTGGAGCAGAAGGTCTCTTTATTGGTTATCTCTTGAGATATATATCTAGGTATCTACAGGGTATATATAGTGTGTAGTGTATGTGTATATAGTGTATATGTGTATTAGAGTATATATGTGTGCATATGTATGTGTATGTATACTTTTCTGCACATAGGTATGTACATATATGTATGCACATGTGTATGTGTGTGCATATGTATATGTGTATATGTATATATGTGAGTGTGTATTTATTTCCTTATACAGGGTGTCCTAAAAATCTTTGTCCAGTTTTAAATTTTAATCCTTTAAAAAATTTTAAATTTTTAACTCATACCAGTATAAGTTAACTAGACTCTGCGTACTGTTGTGACAATCAAATGAGGTACACACGCATTGTGTACACACGCATGACTGATGACATGCTTTATACATCTTCTCCAACCCATGAAACTAGCTATTAGGAATACATTTATATCATGAGCTCTGGCTTTGTAAAACCCTGGATCTCAGGGTCACTTCTTAGGTGCATGGACTTATTAAGTCTGAGTATGAGAAAGGTTTCCTCTTGTAATCACATTGATTAACCTGTGAAGTTGCTTTCCAGGCCCATTACTCATCCCATGCCTTAGGGCATGACTGCACTGGCATTTCAAGAGCATGGGCCGCTATTGAAATTGCTTTAATGGTTACCATGGTGAACAAGCCTGCCGGTTCTCCTTTGGTCACTATTGATCATGTGGATGTTTGGTCAGTACTGCGACCCATTTGGATTATGGAGTTGGGAGCCCGAGCTCTCTCTTTTGTACAGTGAGCAAGGAAATTCCTCCCTCTCAGGAGCACGGTGATGATTTATGAATGATCCTGAGATGAAAGATGCCAAGATGAAAGATTTTATAAATGCTGGTCAGAATTACTACTGAACTGGGCCTTCTGTGGTGAAGAACTGTAGCCAAACCTAGAAAATCCTGAAATTTCTCCAGGTGTGATTCTTTCCATACTGCAGGGGGTATGGTCAAGGATGGGGGAAATAAACCTCAGATAGCTCAACTTCCCCCTCAGTATTTTAGGGCATAGAAACTCGGACTTCAGTCGGTCCGGCCAAGTCAGGGCTAAATTTCTGACCATGGGCATTGGGATTCTGAGAGCAGTATGATACAGGAGGATAATCATATGCCTTTCAGTTATTGAACATATATTGCCATAATGAGGCTTCCAGTTTTGTAAATACCTTAGCCGGTTCAGTAGAACAGAACAAATGTACTCGGTTTAGGTTGTTCCTACAGCACATCCATACACAAACCTACCCAAATAACTTTGGCTTTCAAGTCAGGGCTGCTGAATGTTTTCTTCACTATCAGGTTTTTTAATTAGGCTAGAGTAACATGAGAGTAGTCAATCAGAGCAGGCTTAACAACTTTCAAGTTATCTGTGTCAGTCCTAATGAAGTCCAGTGCCAAAAGGATCGCCAATATGGCAGCCAAAAGTATTCGCTGAAAAGAATTTTTAAAGGAGGCTTGGAGCTGCCATCATCAACATTGGAAAGCCATTCCAGGAAAGCATTGTCTCTGCAATCTTATTCATTCATTTAAAAATATGTGTGTATTTATATATATATGTATGTATATATATGTGTGTGTGTGTGTGTATGTTTGCCTTTTGCTATATCATTATATATTATTAATATATATTTGTTATTTTATTGTTAAAATTTATGCTTGTTATATTATTAAGTCCAGCGCAAACTTATGCCTCCACTATGACTGTTATTCCTTTAGGACTATTTGCTACCTTGAGTAGCTAGTTGGTGTAGTGAACAGGGCACTGGACCTGGAGTCAGGAAGATTCATCTTCCTGAATTCAAATCCAGCCTCTGATACTCGGTAGCTGTGTGACCCTAGGCACTTCACTTACCTGTTTGCCTCAGTTTCTTCATCTATAAAATGAGCTGGGGAAGGAAATCACAGGCCACTCCAGTATCTTTGCCAAGAAAATCCCAAATGAGGTTTGAAGAGTTGGACAAGACTGAAAAATGACTGAACAACAACAAAGGATTATTTGCCAGCAACAGAGAAATTTTCTTTATCTGTTTTGTCTCTTGCCTATTAACTTTTTACAGCTTTATTATCTTTGTTTTCTTTCAATTTCTTCTTTATTCAGCAATGCTGTTGAGGAATATTGAGTAGTGTTGGGTGTGTGTGTGTGTGTGTGTGTGTGTGTGTGTGTGTGTGTGTGTGTTTCAAGCTGCCTCTCAGAGTAGCTGCAGGGAGGCTGTAGTCCAGGCATGTTTCTGTCAATCAATGGACACCTCATTTTAATTCCCTGCCTGTGTTGGGGTTTTGAGCCTATCTGTGCAATGACTAGTTAATCACTCTGGAAAGCCAGATAATACCAACCATGTATTGGTCTCGCTTTGACCAACATCGAAAGATAAAACTATAGAAGTTATAATGTAGAAGGTCTGCCTGAAAAGAGATTCATGGGGAAAAAAAAAAAAAAACAATACCACGGCTATGGAGACTCTGATTTTTCTGTTGTTGACTTAAATAAGTGTTTAAGCAGGCAGCAGTGTCTTAAACTTGCTCAAGTGTCTGTGTTCTGGGTAAAGCAAAAGCACAGGGAGCATGGATGGGGGTGGGGATTCACATATGATAAGGCTTTAAGCTAGGACTTTAATAACCCAGCTTTGGGGACTTAAAAAGAAATAACTGTGAAGAAGCATTCATTGTATGACTACAGCCATTGTAGAGATGGAAGACTAAGTGGCGAGGATGATGTGTTTCCAGCCCTAATTTCCCTCCCATATCTCAATACCAAATTATTTCTATACATGTATGTTGAGGGTCACTTTAATTATTTAGCTAATCATGCTGGATTTGCATAAATTGGCTTTAGTGGAAAGGCTAATAAGATGCATTTTGCTTTGCAGCTGAAAGCAATTTAGGGTTTAGAGTCTAGTAACAACCAAAATGAGTGACTTAAAATTATAAGCGTCTGTACTTAAAATGGGGCAAGTGCCACTGGATCATTAAGATTTGTTTTTGTTTTTTGGTTTGTGTTTTGGGGTTTTGTTTTATTTTTTACATTTTTCCTGTTGTCATTCAGAAATGGTACTTGATGGTTTTATGGCTTTTTCCCACTTGTGTTTATTCAGCATCAAAGGGTGAGACCACCAGAAAGAGAAAGCTCTAAATGATATGTGCATGGAAGTTTCCCTATAGAAAGGTCAAAAAATGCTACATTGACATTTGCGTCAATTATTATTACTTATTCTCATCAGTTAGATGTTGTATATTGTTCATTCATTTCAGTCATGTCTGGCTCTTTGTGACTCCATTTGGGGTTTTCTTCGAAAGATACTGGAGTGCTTTGTCATTTCCTTCTCCAGCTCATTTTACAGATGAGGAAACTGAGGCAAACCAGGTTAAGTGACTTACCCAGGATCACACAGCTAGTAAGTATCTGAGGCCAGATTTGAATTTACAAACATGGGTCTTCCTGACTCCAGGCCCAGAACTCTATTCACTGCACCACCTAGCTGCACCATACAGACATGCACATATGTGTGTGTGTGTGTGTGTGTATACACACATATGTAATTTTTACACACATATACTCTCATGCAAGTACCACACATACCCCTAGGACAAGTGTAATTGTCCAATCATATGAGAAAGGAGCGGGGCAATGCATTTTCTAGTTCCTTCATTGATGGATATGATGGATAAAATGTCCTTTCATCTTTAGTTTTGACTTATTTAAAAACATAAGATGAAAAAGTAATGCATATGGGTTGTGATGTGTCATCTGTCAACAAATC